GCTAGCCCGAGGTTGATACGCGACTCAATGCCAATTTGAGAGACTCGCATGCTTGCAGTTACGAACCGTAATTGAATGGGGAGAAAGGTGGGCAGAAGAAGAAGACAAGCGCAACTGAGCGTGTTCGTACTTCCCATCGTCAGACCAGATGATGTTCGCCGCCGTTTCACAAATGATATATGCAACGCCTGGGGAAGAGGTACACTGGCAGGCGAAAGACGTCAGTGGCTGAACGTGTAATGTGGACGACGGGAGCCTGCAAGGCCCAACAATTGCTCGAGCGAACACAATGTGCCAGTGCCTTGTGAGATATCTACTCTTTTTTCCTCATTGGAAAAGAGTGGCCGTTCGAGACATGGCTGAAGATCTCTAGCAGCAATTGACCGGTGACAGAAGAGCTCTGTATGCCCGCATCGGGTCTCCCGGCCAAAAATTGGCGAATGGCTACGACTTGGTGGTCATTCGGAGCATCATTCGAGGCTAAAAGGTGAAGCAATGATGTCATTCTTCCTTGTACAAGATGAGCCCAGAGCGTACACTCACCCGTGTTGATGAACGTTAACGTTGACAAGATATGCCTTCGCTTCGCTCCGGCACCATCCCATTGTGGCACACTGGTTTTGATCGACTGGGGCTTTCATGCCCAGATTCCTCCTCATCAATTTGCTTAGTCGTAGCCACTTCGAGTGAAGAATGGAATATATTCAACGACTACGTTGGAACAGCCAAGGCTACCAAAAGGCTACTGCATAGATCTGAGATTCAGAGTCGTCCACCCTTGCTATTGAACTCATATTGGATCAGAAAGAGCAAAGGAGAAGAAAGCAGCGACTTACATGCCCGTTGACCCGTCGGGAATGCGCCCCTCCTTCGTGCAAGGTTCTTCAAGCTCTCCTCGCTTGCGCATATCAATACGTGACGCGCAGGCCGACATTCGAGAGCGTGAAAGCACGACCGGGGGACGCGTCGGAGGTCGAAGCTCAGATTTGAGAACTGGTGGAGTCGGATGGGGGAACGCCAGGCGTTAAGAAGCGATGCAACAGACTGGTGAGTGAATATGAGTGCACTGGAGTCAAATAGGCCCAGTATACACCTCGGTCATGCCAGCGTGAGGCGCGGAACACGGCCGAGTCGACACATCCACTCGAGCCAAGTAAGTTTGTTGGCGGAAGCTCATGGAGCTGATGCGACGCCTCGACCATCTGGTAGAGGCCGCCGGAACTTGATGGAACATTCTAGAATATTGTATGTGTAGTATATAAGAGGCTCGAGTGAGCCCGACTAATTAACTAATTACTTTCTTCCTCCCTTCCATCCCGCTATCTGCTCAACAAAGTTTACCGTAAGTCTTGAGTAAAAGGAGTGAGAAGGCACCACGCACTGGCGCACCCGTATCCCGTCCAGTCTCCCCACTGATGTAGCAATGTGAAGATGAGTGTTTGATAGCACGTAGAGAGTCCGTCAGTTTGCCGGGATCGCGTCCATTGGGACGTGAAGACGGCGACCTTTCTGTGCGGTTGGAGACGCCACGAAGTTTTGCTGAGGTTCGAATTCTTCGACTGGAGCTGGCGATGATGAGATGAAAGGGAGATCCATCGAGTACCAAGGGTTGAGGACATTTGAGGCAACATCGAGTGAGAGTATTCCAGACAGCGCAATTGTTTTTTCTTTGAGCAGAACGAAGAGCAGGTGGCAGGACGGGATAGGTAGGAGGCTAGGAGGAAAATGGGTGTGGGTGTGGGTGAAACGACGGCAGTCCAGGGCTGCTCTATATGCATGCCCTGCCGGCGACGCGTCATCTTCCGGCGGAGAGGTGCTCCACTGCTGTTCCGTGTTACTTATCATCTACTGACCTGCGCCGAGGGGACGCGTGTCGCGCCGTTTGAAGCGTTCAACTGGCGGAACAGCAATCTGTCAAGTAAAAGCTGTAGAGCTTCTCAGATGCCTGATTAGCGCACCAATGCAGCTCCCGGCAGGCATACGTTGCCTGGTGCCCGGCGGCACATGGCACGAGATGTTGTTCAAATGCTGTCGAGTTGAGTTTTTCATGAGAAAAATGAACAGAGATCTCGAGGGAACTCATTGGCTGCTACGCTGGATGAGAGAGGAGGATAAACTGAGCTTGGCACAAATGGGGACAGAAGCATCAAAGACCAAACAAAAAGGAGACATTTCGTTAAAGAACGGATAATGGTGGTGGGCGGAGGAAAGAAATCACACGTGATCACCCATGACTCGTCGAGCGGCAGATCAGTGATGGTCTTAACACGTCATCACAATCCTCTTTCTTATCTTCTTCCACGATATCAAAGGTCAATCGGAGCTATAGCTACTGAGCTGAGGTCAGAGCACGGTGCAATTCCGGACAAATCTGACCCTAGGCGCAGAATGCAATCATCTCCCTTCGTCCGTCTTTTGGAATCGAATGACCCTCCGGACGAAGGAGAAATCGTGCTCATCCGCCGATTCCTGGATGAGAATCGCGCGCGGCTGGATGAACTTAGAACCATGCCCCAAAGTACGCCGGAGGTCGATCAGCTAGAACGCTGCATCCAGGCGCACACCGCCCTCCTGTCTCCCATTCGCTGTGTTCCGGGCGAATTGCTCTCTGAGATCTTCACCTATTCCTCGTACAAGCGGAAGGTCGGAACGCACCGCATTGATGCCCCACCGTGGCCTTTGGGCTATGTCTGCAGGACTTGGCGAAACGCGGCACTCTCCACCTCACTCCTCTGGCGCCGCCTCACCATTTACGAGCCTCGGTCGACATCCGCTACCATCCACATGATATTCCCTCTATCCATGATTGAAACCCAGCTCGTGCTGTCTGGCAACGCTACTCTTGACATCTGGATGAATGTGCGCTCCCGCGGGTCGGCTGGCCACCATAAAGACCTGCTCCACGCACTCCTTCAGCACTCTCATCGCTGGAGAGTCTTCAATATGTGTCTGCGAGGTTCGGAGGATCTAGTCCCTGCGCTCTCCGGCATGTACAACCGGATTCCGCAGCTTCGCGAGTTCATATTGACCCAGGATAACTTGCAGCCTGGTGAAGGACACAGCTACCTCTCCGAGGCCCCCGCTCTACGCAGATTGATTCTCACAGGCAGCACTCTCCGTGCACGCTCTCCGTACATACCCACCGCCCCGTGGGATCAGATTATCCATTACCGCGCCTCGGGTACAGCGCAACAAAATTTTGACATCCTCCTGGCCACGCCCGGACTAGTCCAATGTGGTCTGGGCTTCATAAAGGTGGATTCCGAGGTCGAGTACCACGCTGGAAGGCACGTCGTCCTCCCCTGTCTGCGTCGATTGAGGTTGGGCGTCGCGCCCGAACCGGCCCGTGATTTCTTGGCGCATATCACGGCGGGGCCTACGCTCGAAAGTCTGACCGTCTGCGCGCCTTACACTGCCGTCCCATCCTTCCTCCACCGCTCGTCCTCAGGCAGATTGACTTGCCTCTACCTAGATAATGACCATAGGAGCACCACAGCAGAGGAGATCGTCAACGTCCTCAGAGACGCCCCGGTTGTCAGGACGTTGGGGATTTTGTGCGGTGCGCCGAGCGACCACGAGATGGGGCCGGTTTGGAGTGCGATGACTATCCAAGACCGTCAGGGGGCTGCGAATATTCTCTGCCCCGTGCTCAAGTCATTGGTGTATACATGCAGAGGCGAGCACGAGGCCATCGATCCGCCGTTCTTCCCCATGGTGCAGTCACGCTGCAGCGAATATCAGGGTGGAGGTGCAACTCTCCACTCGCTCCGCGTCGTGGCCATCGACACTCTCCCTGAATTCGTGGAGAGCCTCAGGCAAGGAATGGTCTCTCTCCCGGACGAGTTGAAGTCTCAGGTGCTTGAGGGGAAGGAGGGGAGGCTTTTTTGAGCGACTTTACTTCTGTGTGAGTAGGAATTCTTATCTAATTTCAAGATGCATCCTGGCCATTATTGCTGGTTGATCGCTGGCCGTCTGTCAGTTCTGTTCCATTCCACGATCATATCGTTGTGTGTAGCTCAAATTTTAAGGTGCCTCAACATACCAGAGGCCAAGTATCCGTTCACCTCCGATTCAAAAACCTTCCCACCAAACAGGATTCTTCTGTAAAACCTCCACAATAACCCTCGCCTCCAACTCAGGAACACGCGCCCGAATCTCAGGCTCCAATGCCCCGTCCTCATCCCCCTCAATCCAATGTGTGACAATCACAAACTCTAACCGTCTCAACCCGCGGAAACGCTCGCCCGTCAACAATGTCGTGTTGAGGTAATCCCAGTCGATGTTGTCGAGCACGACGACGGCGACGAGGGTTAGCTCGATTGTGAGGGTCGTGAGAGGGGAGCGGACGGCGGAGCGGACGGCGGCAAGGAGGGCCCAGGGGGCCCGCGCGTGCATAAGGCCGTCGGGGCCGTGAAATCGGCGGAGGCTGACGTGGATGCAGAGTCGACGTAGGTGGGTGTTGGAGCTCAGGTCAATGTGGGTGTCGATCTCCCCTGGTCATGAATGGGAGGTGATGAAGACTCGGAGAAGGAGAAGAGGTACGTACCAGCTGTGACTTGGTACATCAACGCGAGATCGAGGGCTTTGAGATTGAGGCCTAGGGACTGTAGTAGTTGGCTGACGGTGGGGAGGGCGGCCGCGGGCAGCGCGCCTAGGCTCAGTGTGTGGATGCTGGGTGAACTGGAGTTGAGCCAATGGATGAAGGGCCCGTAAGAGTCCCCGCTCTCCGGACAAGGGCCGAAATTGGGGGTGGAGTTATCGAGGAAGGTGGCAACGATGGATATCTTCTCGAGGCGGGGGAGCCGCGAGACCAGTTCCACAAAATCTCGTGTTATAAAAAATGTGACGAGGTGAAGTTCGAGGTTTGTCGTCACTGAAAAGGCACGGAGGAAAGGTTGGATGCGTGCGCAAACCTTCGGGAGGATGGAGTCGGCCAAAAGACTGGGCAGGACGGTAGTAAGGATATCTAGATGGTGTAACGCAGCTCGTACGAGTGTATATCCTAATTGGTGTAGTGGTTAACATTGGTGCTTTTCACGAAACTTTGGTGTATCTTGACTACGCACTAGCCAGGGGTTCGATTCCCCTATTGGGAATACCTTTTTCCACAAGAACGTGTCCACGTTTTCGCTCATTTTACCGTTCTACAATATCCGGTGTCCCGAGGATGCTCCTCCGCCTGTGGGTTCCACCGACATAAGAGCTTTTAATTGGTGGCTGCTCTTGTCACGTAATCGCACTTGCGCGGGGTTCGACTCCCCGCACCGGAAGTTTTTGTACTTTTAGTGTTCCCCCTGCCCTGTCCCTGAACATCCATATATCCGGAACTGCAGAGTTCAGGCACGTAAGTGGGCACCGTGGACCACACACCCATGATGATCAAGTTGACCCACCGTGGCCCATAACGGCCTCCTCGCCTAGCCTTGATTGACAGTTACCGCCTTGCCTCGGTGAATCTCGGACACAAGTAGACAGGGAACAGCATTCGCAGATCCCTTTTAGCGACCCGTCATATTCGCAGATCCTACGGAATATTCACGGAATGCATCTAGACTCGGAGACCCGAACCCCGAGTAAACCATTGATCATGATGCGCGGGTCGGTCCCGTCGGAACGCGGAAGCGTGTATAATTTCAAAAATACAGTAGGTAAGAGACGCGGATTAGGTCTACAGAACTTGGTTCGTATGGTACATGATTGCGATTCCAGGAAGTGAACAAGAGCGGATTATGTGCGTTCCACAGGGAATAATAGCACGGGTGGCGGGATCAACCGCCAGAATAATTTTATCGCACGCGGATCGCGGGAGCGGCGCGCTCAGGAAGATGGCGATGGAGTTAGCGGCGGAGGAGAGTCGCCGTCTGTACTCGGATGTGTTCGCATGTGCCGCCGCATATTCGATTGGACATTGAACCGCCGACCGCAATTTGGGTGTGTGCAGCGAAAAGCTGGCGAGAGTTTAGATGTGTGAGGTGAAAGGTGAACGAGGATGACTCACGCATGGCGCCCGTATGTGTGTTGGTGTGAGTGCGCAGGCTGCTGGGCCGCGTGAAGAGCTTGCCGCAAAGATTGCAGCTGTGACGCTTGCGTTTGGTTGGAGGGGCGGTCACGGTCTCGACTTCCTCTTCGTCGTACGTTGAAGACGATGAAGACTCGGAATATCGGCGACGCCGCGGTGAAAAGTCGTAGGATGGGAAGGGCTGGTGCGAATGAACCTGGGGCTGCTGCCTCCGTAACATGTCCAGTTTGTAGTTCAACGAGTTGGGCAAGAAGAGGTGAACGGGTGGCGAGATCAAATGCTCGGGGAGCATTTCATGGATGCTGGGCAGAACGACCTGTTGTGAAGAAGATGCGGGGGACATGATTGGGATATCGATCAGCGGAAGCGCAGATATTGAGATATTTAAGTACGGGTTGCAGGCAAGAGACCGACAGCTCAAAGGTACATAACGTGTTTGCCAACTGTTGACTTTCCCGAACTACCGTGATAGAATACCGCCGGTTGGCCGTCTTCTCATGGGAATCGGATCCGCACCTTACAGCAGATCTTTTCCCGCCCGTGTCCCCAATTCGCTTGCCTGCGATCACGCAACTCCACCTGTCTGCCAGGGATACTCATCTCCGCTGCAGTCCTATGGCCCAGCATTGACCAGCCCAGAGGTTTTCCGCTTTCCAGGTTTTCTTGGCTTGATGTTGGCTTGATGCACTACCCGTCCCGCTGATATCTACGCTGGGACGCGCCGCTCTCCCGTTCATCCGCCTCGAGAAGCACTCCAGTAATCAGAGTATGAACCCCTAGTAACCCGCGCAGATCTTCAATTTATCTGCCCATCTATTATCAGCCGCTGACGTCGCCGAAATACCGACGTGCCGAAAGACGGACATGATCTGCCCTGCTAAAGTTTAACGCGCCCGTTCGGTGGCGTTGATCCATTACCCGTTGTGCACAAAAGATGTCGCTCGATTCTTAAAAAAGATGTTCTTCCCTAGCGACATTCAAATGATTGTACTCCGCCACCCCGACGTAACTCGTGCGTCCCCGACGCAATGAAGTTGTCTCGGAATTTGGGCGGAATGGGTCCTCCCTTGTTCACAGCCTGGCTCCTCTGCTCAATCTACACTTGCTCGTTCTCACCCGGGTACAATCTCTGCATCCATATCACTTCGCATCGTGTCTAGGACCGATGAGTGACATCCTCTCAACTTCCGTCTCACGCATACGCTCTCACGAAATTGCGAAACCATCAAGTCTTCCGTACTCCTTCCGTGTGTATGCTGTTCCGCTCAGGTACACTCACCGATCTTCGCGGGCATTCGCAATGACAGCCAATCAAAAAACATTCATACATACGCTTCTTTGATTCTTGGACTCTTTCTCAATCTGTGATGGATTCAACTCGTCTCCAAGCTGGCCGCGTGGGCCCGCATGCGTGCATCCATTTCTTTCACAGGTGCTTCGAAGCCACCGTCTGCGGAATTTCGGGTTTTCGGGCTCAAAAAACTTCTCACTGAACGCTCGTTCTGAAGAAAGCCGGGACCAGAACACAAATTGTGGTGCCACAGAAGCAGAAGTCGAATTCCGCTGATTGATGTCCTGCCGCTGTGGCAATTGGATGGCCCAACTTACAACGCTGCTGCTGTTGGTTAGACTTTCTCGTCCATTGTGCCCGGCAGGCCCGATTGTCGTGCGAGGCGGGACAACATCAACATCAGCTCTCCGACCTCGAGGCGGCCACAGGTTACTTGGACCGAAGAAAAAATTACATGGGAATTTAATCCTCGGTATGGGAGCGGAGCGCTCAAGGAAAGGTCCGCGGCGTCTTCGGCGTCTCAAGTCTCGGTGTTCTCCCAACGCGGAGCTCGAGCGGAGGCTTATTCTATTCGTTTCCTTGGGCTGCGCTCACTTCGGAAACGGTAGGGTATACTAGGTTACTGATAACTATGCTGCACGTGAGATGTCGCATGGCGGCACTGGTCGCTACGCCGATGATCATGAGACGGTGTCAAACCCAAGTAACGCTGGAGTTTCAACTTTCAGTTCTCTGTATCAGTCGGAGTCCTTCAGCTCGGAGTCATTTTTCACGACCGTTTGGGCGAGCCACGGCGGATCGGTGGTAAAGCTGACCGTCCAAGGATTGAACTTTGAAGGCGGACCATACGGCTGAGACTCGAGATCAGCAAATGATTGGATCATCACGCTCCATCACAATGGAGATCAGCGTGACGGCAGCGCTCGCCGCCGCTCTCTGTTTCCGCCCACTGCTCAACGTCTCGTCTCCGTCTCTTCCGCGGAGAACGCTTGCGCACGCTCAGCAACTTGCTGTTTCTCGTTGCTAGCGGATCCCAGGCTTTACGGGCCTGTTTCAATGAAGGCTGATCCAGGTTCAACTTCCTCCACCTGGGCCTGGCACAGTGGCACCAGTCGTTGCGACGACTCACCATTATCTAGCCTGAACTAGGGGGCTGAATGTTGACAGGATGCTGTCTACACATTTCTCTATTAGTGCCCCCAGTTGCAGTTTGGCGCCGATCTTACGTGGACCGAGTCCAAAAACAACAGTGTGTGCTGTGATTGTCTCTACACAGCCTGATGCCCTGAACACAGGATTCTTTTCTGGAAGACTTCGGAGTCCTGGGATCTCAAGACGAAGAGCCTCATGTGACAGAAATCATCGCATGTCACCAAGTGCCGCTCTCTGCTTCCGTCCTGCCTCAGGCCTGAGTGCTCACCAATGCTGAGCGTCTCTTCTTGGTCTCTTCCAGGCAACTTCCAGCGGCTCCCATGCTTGAAGATTCGCTGCTTCTTGGCTGCTTCAGTCCTTGCAGCCAACAGGTTCAAAGGCTCCGAGCCACGAGCTGCAGGCTGTATCTGTATAGAACCTCTTGCCAATTTCCAAGCAAACTGCGGAAGCTGTCGGCTGGATCTCTACGCTGCTCCATCGCAAGATCTTACGTGGATCGAGTCACATCACATTAGCTCACGCTCCGAGATTTTAGTCCGCTGGTCTCGTTTCCCTTTCCCTCCTTCAAGCCCATGGATTGTCAAGACTGTCTCATCAAAGAAGACCGACTAGGGATTCTGAACTTCGACGCCGATGGGGTCGACTCAGCGCCTTAGGCTCAAGTTAAAGACGTAGCATCATATCTCAGCGGGAAGCTAACATTCAACACTAGTTGCATTCTCGACACAGGTTGGACAAGAATGGCATGAAATCGGCGGCGCCGAGTTCAGCCCGGTGTTTACTTCCTCGACATGCATGAATGGGGCGGCAGGCTGAAATGAATTCCATGGTCGATTCCACTCCGCCAGGGGGCTCGTATAGTACTCTACATCTCATCTCGAGGACATCTGTCATCATGATTCGCCACTGATATGACCTTCGTAAATCTCCCAAGCATCAGGTTTCAAGCTATGTATGTTGCGATTCTCTCTGGGGGATTCTGAGGTCTCTTGCTTGGCAAGAGGTTGGATGACATTTTGGGCCAGACATGTACAGAGGATGAATAATTCTCGCAACATTGAATCTGGCATTGCAGAACGACCACCCATTTGTTATCGCATGCTGACCGCTTGTGTGGAGCTATTCCCACAAGACAAGTATAGCCTCGCTGTATTTATGGTGCCTAGTCATCGCTTTTAAGGCCGACCCACCCACCCTTTCGACCAACCGCTCATGTTGATCCCCAATTTGATCGTCGTCCCAGGGGGATTACTCTTCTTACGTTCCGTGGTTGCCCAGGCGGCACCCTCTTCATGGCGGGTACCGCTCTCCCTCATCCTCAGTCTTCTCTCCTCTGACCCATGAACAATAGAAACCAACTCTGAATATGTCGCAGTCCGATCGCGTCAGTCTCGCAACAGCCGGGATCCAGAAGACCCTCACTTTCCTGGTGGACAGTGGCCTGTTTGGAGACCCAGGTAAGATACATTTACTGGTTTGAGACCCTCGGAGCTCATGATCACCAGATGACACTTACGGGAACGGTGGCACATTCTACTCTCAACTAGCCGAGTTCGATGTTGCGACCAACGGCTCAACGTACAGCACTCCTCTTGGAGCGTACTTCGAATTGGCAAATCAGTACCTGGGGACAA